TGCTAAGCTTACTTCCATTTCGAGTAAAAGTGTTGCGTGAAGAGATTCGAAGGTTGGTTTTCTTGACTCGAAGAAGATTGCACCTCGGAAACAGCGTCAGCATGAATATTGCAGTAAAGCTGGTCAAGAGGAATCGGCCGTCGTCTTCTGGTGGAACCGAACTTCGAATCTCTTCACGCAACACTTCCACTCGAAATGGAAGCAAACTCAACAACATATAATTTGTTGTCTGCAGCCACTTTACTTAACTTTTGTGCAATCATTCAGCCAAAGCTTGGCATATCCAATAAAAAGATGGCGATTAAGAAATACGATTTCATGGTATTTGAATCTTCATTTTTGTCGCAATTTTTCCCGTTTCCTTTCAACCGCGTCACTTTGCTTGCCTTCCAGCTCGAAATAGCATCATCAAAGAGAACCTAAATTACCCTTACTTCTTGTCTGTGCACCTGTGTGTGTATGTGCCTATGTGTGTATTTGTGAAGACGTAGATCTGTGGCTATTTATACTTGAATTGACGATTTAAAAAAATATTATTATTTGCTATTCTCTTCCGTTTATAATCGTCCCGTAAGCCGAGTATGGATAATGTCTATTTGATCCACTTTAAGACTCGTCAATACTGTTCGAGTCGAGTTGTTGCTAGACCCAGGAAAATGGTCGCTTGGCTCGTTCGCTTTTGTGTTGCCGATGCAACCCGATGGTTTTTCAGCCTTTTTTCTTTTGTAAGCTGCAAGAGGCTGCCTGATTCATTTATTTTTGCATTTATATTTTGATTATATATCAATTCTATTGACCAATTAACTGACAAACTTATGTTTTGTGTGATTATTTGGCTGATTGATAAACTGTTCTACCGGTAGAATTACAGTTTTTACCACTGAATTGTTTGAATAATTACATGATTACGTTATCTGACCAACCGATTGTTTATAAAAAAAATTAATACTTTTACTCTGTGATTGTCCTACTGGATTGCCTGTTTTCGTGATTATTATGCTGATTACTCGGCTAATTGACTGGTTAATTGATTGATTTTTTTCTCTTTCGGTCGACTGAATGATTGTCAGATTGACTGTCTGACTGATTGGTTTATTGTATATTACTGCCAGTGCGACTGTTCGGCTTCATTGTACCTCGTCCAAGTCGCCAACTGTTCTTCTCGGCCGTCTGCATCGGATCAGATGCGGGCCATGTTGTCAATCGGTTGATCCTCACCGACCTTTCTGGCGGCTGGTATCTTCGCCGCTTTGTCATCTATTCCGCTAAGCCTAGCGGCGTCGGGACGTAACGAGATGCGCGTCTGCCTGACTTTGAGACGAAGAGGTTCAGGCTTCTTCCACGCCAAGTCGATACGAGACTGGCTGGACGACGAGTCTGTCTGAAGGGTAGAGATCTACCGCGAAGGTCGGCTCGTAGAGACGATGACGTCGCGGACTGTTTAGCATTTTTTGCACGCCTCTCGCTGCACTCTGCTGCGAATCGCCAACGAGGCACCAAGTCGCCAGCCATTCACGTCAAGCTCAATCAGTCTCGCTCTGGCTGCAATGCCTCAATCACTAATTCACTTTGTCTCATTCAAACAGTTGTTCACTCATTCATTCTCACTCATTGCTCATTCACCTACTCATGACAAAAGGTATTTTTTGTCGATTTTTGGCATTACTCATTTACACATTCAGTCACAGATTCACTTTTTCATGCATCCACTCACTGTATCGGTCACTTATTCAATTATTTGCGCATTCACTCTTTCATTGCTTCAATTAATCATTCACTTTCTCACTGAATTCATCATTTACTCAATCACTAACTCATTCACTTACATGCTTACTTATTCACTCTCACATTCACACTTCTCTTGATTCATACAATTGTTCACTCACTCACTTGTCCACTTACTCACACACTCACACATACAATCTTCAATTCCTTCACTCACTGGCTGACT